GAAACTCAACACTTTTATTACCCAAGCAGTTTACTGTTGGGGTTCTATCTTAGAAAAAAAGAGCTGGCCACACTCACTGGCCGCGCCCCTGAAAAAGAACAGGTAGTGGCAGCGGAAGCGGAAGCAGCAGAAGATTTACACATGGACCGTGCATTGCCAGCTCCCACCAACAAGGACTGACAGCCCCGCCAGAGTCACTTGATTGACTCATTGACTGTTTGAGTTTGATTGACTGTCTCTGGACTCTGGACTCTGAACTCTGGGTTCAAAATTCAAAATAGATTAGATCAAACAAACTCATCAAACGCCGCAGTACACACACACCAACTCTGACTCAGACTTGAACTGGAAGTGGAAGGATAGCAGCAGCGCTGTGTCTGCGGAACCAGAAGCCCGAGCAATTCCCTGGTGGGTTGATGCCACAATGAGTGTGGTGGGGCCATACTTGTCGCAGCAAAGCTTTGATTTACCGGTCTCCTATGGCTCCGATTGTTCTGGCATAGACTCTCCATGGTGGGCGCTTTGTCAGCTAGCAGAGGGTGTGGAGGCACAAGCGTGTCATGTACTCTGTATACAGTGATATGATATGATACTATAACAGCAGAACAAGGCTTTACTACTGATACTAGTTACGTTACGTTACAATACTATTGATTTGATAATTCTATATCTTCAAACTTCATGCTCAACTCGACTCGAACTTGACACTGAGTTAGACTGGCCCGCTGGCAAGTGCTCACTCATTCTGACAGGTGCACTGTGGCAAGCAATTGGATCTCCAATACAAATTTGCAAGTGAAGCGCCAGGTTCAGATGGGTATTGGCAGAAGGTGATGCTTGAGATCGGTGGAGGCATTGAAAGAAGTCCTCAAATCATTTTTGACGACATGTTGGTGTCTCGGCTGTCCCGTCATCGCATGGTATGGCATGACTTTTGTGTAATGTCAATTGCCGGTAGGAATCGGCAGCATTTACACTTGTTGAATTGTTATCAGAATTGTCATTGAGTCGTCATTTGTACTAGACTCTAGACTATACTCTATTATCTATGTGTCTATGTGTCTATCAGTCTATCTATCATACAATAACTATTATATGTCTATTTATTACGGTCCGTATCTGTATCCGTTATAGACTTATAGATAGACATAGAGCCTAGCTGCTAGCCCGCGTCCTAGATTTCTCCTCTCCACTATCCTATCCTGCTTTGTTGAGGCCAGAACCAGTGAGTCAGGGCCAGATTGGAAAAATGCTGGTTTGCAGGCCCCTGTGCCTTCTGTTTTGCTGTACACTGGCGGCTTTGAATGCCAGGCTGGAAGTGAATTGTATTGCAATCCAATCCCAGACTCAAACCCATGGCCCACGGCCCATTACCCATGCCAGGATTTGTCCAATCTCAATGTGGCGAAGAAGGAGCTGAACATACACAATGTGGGCTCTGAGTACTTTTCTCAGAACTCAGAAGTGACAATATGATGAGTCAATGATTATGGTTGGGTTGGTTGGTTGATGAAGTTTAATAATTTCAGACACCACCAGCTCAAGGTCTGGCATGTCGTCAAAGACGCTGGCAAAATCCTTGGAATATATCAAGCAAAAAAAACCGTGGGCGCCCAAGCAGCTCACAAGTGCCATGCCACTGCTTCACTGCGATAAACTTAGACATTAAAAACATGTCTATGAGTCTATGACTCTATGACTCTGACTCTTTTAATTACACAATTAATTAGACTGTTAGAGTCTGAGCGCACTGCACTTAGACTCAGTCAGTCAGACTGGACTGGACTGGACTTAGATTTGATTTGAATAGAGCTAGATGAAGACTGGACCTGACTTCACTGTGTCACAGTTACAATTACAGTGTAGTTATAGTACTGCTGTGGCAGTTTCGGTCTCATTGTGCTGTGACAGTTCCCCGCCCAGGTGGCAGTGATACTAGAGAATGTGGCCAAAAGGAATACTGCGGAGATAGTACAACAAGAACTGGAGTCACTTGGGTATGTGTGTGCTTCCTTATTTGCAAATTCATGCAACTTCGGGGTTCCTCAGAGCAGAAGCCGTCTCTATGTATGTGGAGTTTTGTCCAGCGCCAGCACTGGCAAACAGATTGCGCATGGGCCATCTCAATGGGTTTCGTGGTTGCAGGGTGTGGGGTTTGCTTGCTGACTTTTGGACTGACGGACTGACTGATTGATTGACGGACTGACTGACTGATACTTGGCAGGAAATATCATCAAGGGTGAAGACGCCTCGTTTCAGTGATTTCATGCTGGAGGACAATGACGAGAGAGTAGAGGCCCTGCTCTTGAGCAGACAGTCTCTTGAGAAGACCACTACAAGTCTTCTGGAGTCATTTCACACTGGATCATCATGGCCCAAATGCCACAAGAAGCATGAGGAGGCAAGGAATCACATCAGAACCTTTTTCAATGAGGAGGCCAGGCAAGGCAAAAGTAGCACCAGCACTCAGATTCACACACATCACATCATTGTCGTCATCAAATTGCGTCTGTCTGTGTGATTATGAATTAATATTTTATGTCTGTCAGTCACAGTCTGGGTCTGTGTCGTCAGTGTCATCTTTCTCTCCACTCTCCTTGACCAGGTTCCTAGTGCCAAGACATTGCTTGAGCGGTATGGCAATAAGTGGACTCGCACCCTTCCAGCACGAGAACAGGATCTCTTGTACATGCATTTATGGGTGTGACTCGACTTGGTATAGTTAGTTGCAGTATTGCAGACTTTGGTTGCTGACTGCTTACGACTAACTACTGACTGCAATTTTCCCAACTTTGACCCTGAGCCCTGACTTCATGTTCCAGGTTGGAAAAGCACAGAGGCAGCGCTTCAATGCCATTTGTATGGGACCTTACACACAACATCCACTTCAGCCAGTGGAAAGAAGAGTCTTATGAGGACTATCTTCCTTGTTTGGTCCGAGGCCATCGTTATTATCACTGCGGCAGGAAACGCCATTCGGTAGTGGGTTGGGAGTTGAGAGGATTCGGTTGGGGATTGGGCACTGTGGCATTGAACGTAAGTTACATGTTTGGACGTTCCCCCCCTTAATTTGCGGCGATCTAACGATGGCCTCCAACCTAAGCACAATGGCCTCCAACCTACTAACGATGGCCTCCGACCTAAGCGCAATGGCCTTCAGCCTACTAACGATGGCCCCCAACCTAAGAGCAATGGCCTCCAACCTACTGACGATGGCCTCCAACCTAAGCAGAATGGCCCCCAACCTACTAACGATGGCCCCCAACCTAAGAGCAATGGCCTCCAACCTACCAACGATGGCCTCCATAATTTGTGACTTAGGATTGGTGCTCGGATGTGAGCTATTGAGGGGGCAAGGCTTTCCAGCCAGCATCAAGTGCTCTGGCAGTACTGGCGCTGGCACTGCTGTTGAAGTTCCAGTGCCTTGATTATGGGCCGGTTTGTTACAAACGTGGGTCCCTAAACGTATTCGTCATGGGCAGTCGTTGACAATTTCTCCACCGGACCATCACCATTATACTACTCACCTATATGGCTGCAGGTGTTGCATGCTGTAGAGACACATGCCTGTTACCTGTTATTGACTGTTACACAGAGATTCCAAACACGTTTATGAAATGATCAAGTCAGACAGTCTAACTCAACCATGAGAGACAAAATCGGGTTCATTTACCGGCCACTCAGCACAACCACAACCCAAGTGATTTTGAATTTGTTTACGCAGACCTGTCCACACAACTATGATTTCAAATCGGTCACTCGGTCAACATAACGCAAGGGCGTCGGATTATATGTAAGGTGGATGACAATTTGTCACACTTTTGTGTCATTTTAGGACAAGGAGCTGAACAAGATTGCTGGCAACACTATATCCGTGCCAACGGTTGGAGCTATCATTGCATGCCTGCTGGCCAGCATTCCCAATTCAGAATCAGAAGCACCTGGTGGCCATCCTGCCGTGTCTCCCACGCGAAGAAGGCTGACGAAGCCAGAGGTGGGCACGTGGGTCGGATCTCAGAGAATTGCCGGCAGAGCGGGGCGTTTTGATTGCCTCATGAGCAAAGGCAGCTCAGGTCATGCCGCCAGTGTCAGCCAGGGTGGCAAAAGGCAAAAACTGCTGACGGAGTCTTTCAACGCCCGTTGACTGGGACTCACTTGTTCACACGACTGTGCAGATGGGGCAGCTGAAAAACAATCAGCATTTGCGCCAGCGCTCAGGGTTTGGAGTTGAGATGGTGAGATGATGAATTTTGTACAAGTAAGCTTGTAAGCAGTAAGCAGCTGTAACTGGGAGAGAGAGTATGGTCGGGGCTGGGGCGACCTACGCGACGACCCCTGAAATTCTGTTTCAGAGACAATACTGACAATACTAACATTGCTCAAGACATTGCCTTGAACACCTTGACACACAGGGTTCCCCGACAGAACGGTTTTTTACCTTTAGGCTTTTAACATTCGACCCAGTGAGGAGATTCCAAGCCCTTTCAATGTTATGTTCAAGTTTACAAAAAAAAGAACAATTTTTAAAGTTTTTCAAGAAACCACTAGAAATTTAAAAGACACGTGTTTTTTAGTTTTCAACGAATTGCTAGAAATTAAACTTTTGCAAAAAAACATTGTTTTTCATTTTCTTTGAAACCTAAAAAAATGTTTTTTTATGTTTTTTAGGTTTCTGGCTGATTTTAACATAATCATAGACACAGGCCCAACAAGTGCCTTACTAGTAGTAACAAGAAGCTATTAGTCGCAAGTGCATCGCTAGTAGTAACAAGTGCCCTTTACTAGTAGTAACAAGTGCCTTACTAGCAGTAACAAGAAGCTATTAGTAACAAGTGCATCGCTAGTAGTAACAAGT